ACAATTGTCAAATCTCAGAATTGTGCACTTAAAATTGGAAATGTTTTGCCTGTAAATTATAACTAATTAAACAGAAAGACCTGGTTCTACTGAGTTGAAATCCTATATAGAGTATCAAAGTGTGATAATAAAACATTATGAGAGGATACAATAGGATTTCTTATGTCATTTTGGCGAAGTTTTAGGATGTTCTAAAAGTAGAGGCCAAGGAACAATGGTTAACAAAAGGCAGACCCACAACGTCTACGAACAAAAAGACACACATAAATTCATATCTTCCCTCCTCTCAGCCATTAGTACCATTTCTAAACTACTTTATTTACAGAATTACTTTTTTTTTTTTTAAAAGATTTTATTTATTCATTTTTTCCCCCCAAAGCCCCAGTAGACAGTTGTATGTCGTAGGTTCACATCCTTCTAGTTGCTGTACGCGGGACTCGGCCTCGGGTTGGACGGAGATGTGGTGCCTCGGGGCGCGCCCGGGATCCGAACCCGGGCTGCCAGCATCAGAGCGGGTGCCTCGGGGCGCGCCCGGGATCCGAACCCGGGCTGCCAGCATCAGAGCGCGCGCACTTAACCGCTAAGCCACGGAGCCGGCCCTACAGAATTACTTTTTGATAACAAACTACCAAAAAGAAACATTAGGTACCGAGTTTCAAACGGGGAATATGAAAAAAGGTCTGGAGATGGATGGTGATGGTTGTTCAACAATGTGAATGTACTTAATGCTACAGAAATGTACACTTAAAAATGGTTAAAATGGCAAATTTTATGCTATGTATAGTTTACAATAATAAAAAATATTTAACAACAGAAACTTTAGGGAAAAAAAGTAAAGCAAATCTAACACAGCTTACATAAATTGAGAAATCCACAAGGAAGTTACATTTTAAAACAGTTCCTTTGGTTTGAATGATAAAGACTAATCTACTGTTTCTTTGAACTGGGCTCTCACAAAATCAAGCTTAAAAGTGGTTATTAGGTATGATTCTACTAGTTAAAGGAAATTGTGCTTACCAATTCTTTTAAAGTTTATTTGTAATTTTTAGGGCTCTACCAAAGAACAGTTTTTGCTTACAACAGTTTGAGTTGTCTACAGTAGACAGGAAAAACACTGGAAGACAAAGATCAGATCAGAGAGCTCAGATCCAAAACAGTTCTGCATTTGGTGGCCTAAATACGTGTCATTTTGCCATCTAAATTCATCTGCAAACTGACCTCAGCACAAATATTAAAAACATGCTAATAGAAGCCCTAAAGTGGCTGTAGTCTGGGGTTAGGTAAGGTCACACAAGAACTGCCAAAACAAACACCAAATTTCATGTTATTTGGGGAAAAGAGAAAGCCATCTGTGCAATTCACTGTGGATAACCCACGACGCGACTGGGGCTACACATTTGCCAAACAGAGTCGTCATAATGTTATTATTTATGCCAATAATTGATAAAATCATAAAATTCCAGGATGTAACACCAAGGGATGGCAGAGATGTAGTTATCTACCTAAAGCTGGCAGGGCATTGTTATGGAAAAACAGCATTAATAGAACCTGGGGAATCAAAAAAAGAAAAGGAAAAAAATAAGCTCAAAGGGTATATGCCTAGAACAGGAAAGAATGTGTGTGTTTTAAAGAACTTCTACGTACAATCTGGGGAAGGAGTTCTGAGTTAAAGCCTAGACGAATGTTAGGAGGGCAATTTCAACCTCAGGCAGAGAATGAATGATAATGGTAGCGACAGCAGCAGTTCAGTTAGTAGCAATAATAGTAAATTCTTATATCGTGCTTCCTGTTTGCTGGACACTAGTTCTACGCACTTCAGTTATATTAACTTGCTTAATCCTTACAACAACACTGTAAGGCAAGCAAACGATTTACAGAGACGAGGAAACAGGCTCAGGGAGATGAGGTAACCCTCCCACTGTAACCCAGCTAGCAGGTGGCAGAGCCACCTCAGGGTGTCCTGCTCCATTTCCAGAGTTCTTGCTCTTAATCCCATTACATCATCTTTTTTGGAAAACACCATTGTTTTCCTGGGAACCAAGGAGGTTAAAAGGAATTGCTCTAATTATAGACTAGACTGGAGAGTAATATTAAAAAGAACTAGTGAGAGATGAAAAGCTTTCTAGATTTATAAAAAAGCCTACCATGTGCCAGGCATTTTACATTTTAGCATAATGGGCAACTAACTACAACAAAGTAGAGTTATGGATCCCAGAATTAACCATTATCTTGTATTTTTAATGATGTTTATTAAATGATTTCTTTTCATTTAAAAGGCAAAGATATATCACAATAATCAAAGGCAAAAAAATTAAACACTATCTGATTACGTCTTCACAACAATTCAATTCAGTTCTTTCAAAAAAAAACATTTAATAAGCATTCCTGTACCAGGCATGATGCCAGGCACAGGACGTATAAAAGATGAATTTATTAAAAATTAAAGAAAATGGTTCCTGTTCTCAAAAATCTTACAGTCTACAATAACCCTTTGCAATTATCCCCATTTTACATAGGAAGACACTGCTCAGGGGGTTAAATGGTCTGTTTAGGGTCCAAGCTATTAAACAGCTGCAATAGGATTTGAACTTAAACCCATCTAACTCCAACACCTATATATACTTTTACTCTACAGCAAGCTAACAGTGTTTCTGAGAAAAATGTTTGACTCACTTCAAATAACAAATACAGGGCACCTGGTCTCTGTTTAATATTTTAGAACTGTTTCATGTTAGTTGAGAACTTGAAAAGGGGAAGTGTGAATTCTAGACTAAATCTTGGGTTACAAACCTCACATAAATTGTGAGCGTAGCACAACTACATTGCAAGAGTCACTCATGTTGTAAAACAGTTGAACATTTTAAAATATGGATTGCAGCGGACTGCAGATGGGTGTGGCTCCACTGGAAAATGGAGGGGGGTGTTAATTCCAGGAGTTCCCAGTCTTTGGAGTTGAAATCTCTCTCCTTTAGATCTTGTAGGTACATAAGTGTACAAGAAAGTTATCCAGTTAGGATCCAATAAAGAGGAACTGGACCAAGAAGTCCTCTGAGGGCTGCCTCTGTACCTGCTCTGTCACAAACATTTATTAACTGCATTCTATAGTAGGGAAAAATGTATTGACATACCTCTCTGCTCTTTACCTAACAAGGGACAAGATCGCAAAGATACTGTGCTTTACAAAGAGAAGATCCTATTCACAGTGAGATGTATTGAACGGATGCAGCTATATACCATTTTATTCAACTCTGAAACCAAAAGTATGCATTTATGAGATGGCTAAGGCGTGAAGGTGTAGCATGGATCCACTTGGCCATCTCAAAACCATTAGCCTAGATTTGTTAACTTATTCTTTGCCCAAACTGAATTAACCAGGGATAAATAATTTTGAAACATAAAGGGAATAACTAAGGTCTTGAGAAACAAATTTAAAACTGTGTTCAATATAGTTAAAAATACCCCAAACTTCATTACCATCATATTCTAAAAACATTTATTAAGAACTCAATATATACTCTTAAAAAACGTACACTATAAAAGGGAACAAGGGGGCCAGCCCGTGGCCGAGTGGTTCAAGTTCTGTGCGCTCCACTTTGGTGGGCTCAGCTTCACATCCCAGGTGCAGACCTATTCCACTTATCAGCCATGCTGTGGAGGCATCCCACATACAAAATAGAGGAAGATTGGCACAGATGTTAGCTCAGTGCTAATCTTCCTAAAGCAAAAAAAAATAAGATTGGCAACAGATGTTAGCTCAGGGTGAATATTCCTCACCAAAAAAAAAAGGGAACAAGGATTATCAATATAAAACACGTTTAAAAAATACAAACGTATGTAAAGTATACGTACTTAGATGTACATGAAGATAATGTGAATATATGAAGATATTTGGGTAATACATAATGAAAAATGGATTCACAGAATCAGTAGGAAAATATTTAAAGCAGAAACAATTAAAGTTAATTCTCTGCTAAACTTTTCCCAAATACATTTTTATAGGCCTTAATCATAAAAGAAAATCTGCTGCCATGTTTTAAAACATAAAAACAAGGTCATAAGAAGTAATTCTCAGAATAATTTGATTAAACTCTTCTCAAAATTACACAAATCCATATGTAAAATTTTCATTTGAACTTTAAAATTTGCTTGCTAGTTCATCTTTTTAAAAATTAAAATTTTTTTTGCAGTTTAAGATCATTTTTTTGAGAGGCAAAAGGCAGGGAGAGGTATGGGGCAGCTACAGCAGCCCCAGCCCCATCATCAGGAAGAGACCCTCCTTCCCACCTCCTACTCCCCAAGTGGCTCCCCCTGTACAATGGGGATTAAATTTTTAATTGTGGTAAAAAAACACATAACATACAATTTGTCATTTTTACCATTTTTAAGTGTAAGTTCAGCAGAGTTAAGTATAGTCACCGTTGTGCAACAGATCTCCAGAACTTTTTCATTTTGCAAAATTAAAACTGCTATTTCATCTCAAGTGATCACCAAGACATTTTAAAACAATACGGATCAGCATATCTAAGAAAGCAAAATATATTAATATCAAAGCCCACTATGACGACATAATTGGGACAGAGACTAGGTTATAGCTTGTCGCTTTTAAGCAATGGTTTTCTTTATAGAGTATATAAGGTAATATTGCAAATGGTTTTTTTTTAAGAGAGTAATTTCTCTTAAGGCCAGAGATAACATCTTATTCATGTACATCCACGATAGCTAGCTATATAAAGCACTCAATAAACACTGTTGATAGCATCAAAGGGGATTGTTTAAATAGAATGTTTCATAGCCTAATTCAATTTAGTCTTACCTTCAACAAATTGGTTCTCTAAAAACCACTACTAGGAATACTCTCTTAGCCTATGTTTGCACTGTTTTTCAAAAACTTCCTTTAAAAAAAATGTGCTATTAATTTAGGTTTCAAAATTCCCAGTTGACTGTGCTCACATAATAATCAGCTCACATAAACAGTATGTAAAGATAAGCTTTCTACTTACCATATAGTTACCATAAGCATGATCAAACATTTCCAGTACTTGATTCCTAATTTTAAAAGAGCAGAAATGGAAAAACGTTAAGTATATTCTATTCATTGTCTTTCAAAAAGTTAATGCTCCTTCATAAACATACACCAATACAAAACTAAAGAAAAATTTATTTAGAAACGGACATAAACAGTCAGGAAATACACCAGTGTTAGTAGATAAGCTTTTATAAACCACACAGAGCTGGGAGAAACTTTTACTACTCCTAGCAATTTATGTAAACTTCATCTTATAATTTTTCCTAAGAAAACTGATGAATGATGCATGCCATGCAGACAGAAGGAAATCTGATGCTGAGAAACAATTATCTCTTAAAATTACTTAACATATGTGTCTTGAAATATGCTGCTGGAGAGCCCCAAAAGAAATAAATATTGTTACCATTTATTGCTTGTACTACATATTGATTGAATGTAGTACTGATATTGACATGAAATAAAAATATTCTATGAAGTCTCTGCCTTTCCTCTTAAACTCAATAAAATTACTAATGCCTAGGTTAATACGTTTGTCACATTTTCAAAAGATACATTTTATGATTTTATGATGTACTCTCTGCTCCTTTAAAAAACTGCCAAAAGTCAAATAAATAATATGCATCTCTAAAATGAGAAAACTAGTCCTCAAAAAGAGATTTGTGTGTTTTGGCCAACTCTGTTTCTCAAAATCACCAAGATGACTGTTTAAAATGGAGATTTCTGATCCCCACATCAAACTGACTAACTTAAAATCTGTAAGGATGGGAACAAGGAATCAGTCTTTCCACTAAACTCTCTCAAGTTTGGGGGCTTGAGGGCCACAGGAAAAACTACAAAAGTTAATGTTATGGCTAGACAAGGCCAAATCTCTCTCAATAATTAGCAAAGGAAAAATAGTTTAACAATCTTTTATTAACTGTTACCGTTACTCCCCAAGTTGCAATCACTAATGGCAAGAATTAAATAAAGTGTTAAAGAAAACAGCTGGTATTTTTATTTTGCCTCCTGTTATATTGTAATTGTCATTTTAAAAACTGTAATCATGGATGATGAAACAGTTGTAATAACAGAGCTAGCAGACAGAAAAAGACTAATTTCCAGATGCTGGTTGTAATGACCAACAAAATCAAGTACACTCAAACTTGTGAACTGAATAAATTAATCTTGACAACATTTTATGAATAATAATCATTTTAAAACACCTAATGATTAGGGGCCAGCCCAGTGGCGCAAGCGGTTAAGTGCTCATGCTCTGCTGCCACGGCCCGGGGTTCGCCGGTTCGGATTCCCAGCGCGCACCAACGCCCCGCTTGTCAAGCCATGCTGTGGCAGTGTCCCATATACAGTGGAGGAAGATGGGCACAGATGTTAGCCCAGGCCCAATCTCCCTCAGCAAAAAGAAGACGATTGGCATCGATGTTAGCTCAGGGCTGATCTTCCTCACATACACACACAAAAAACACCTAATCATTAAAAACAAGATCTTATCACTTTGCTAAAATATTAATTCTTTATGTGCTTCTATGTATGATAGAATATGGATCAAGTTACCTCAGAAAACTAGAGTATTTTAAAGAATCCTCCTAGACATTTCTTTATTATATGGTGGATGATAAAGATCTCTCGAATTAGCTAATAAAAAAAGTTAAAATTTCCCTTTCAAGCACTCATATCAATAAATGGAATATGGAAATTCTTTTTCCTTCCCCTGAAATGGAATTAATATAAGATTATTGCCAAGAAGTAGAAATTCCTGTAATTGGTAATGGTAGTGCCTAGACATGCGTATTACAGATAACATAAGCTTTTAACCTGTTAACCCAGCTTTGCAAACATTCAGTTTCCAAGATTATGAATAAACCATGATTGCATACGAGGACACATTATTTTCCAATCCTTACAATTATGCAGCACATGATCATCAAATTTCACAACACATTCTACAAAGTGTAGATATTTGATATCCAGTTGAGTGCTTTCTCTCTCTGTTATTTAAACATATAAATCCTAACAAAGTCACATTTAAATACAGAATGGTAGAATAATTACTATATTAAACTTAAAAAAAGTGTTTCTATAAGGTTTTATATCTGTTCAACAACTGGATAAAAATGTATTGCAAATCAGATCCACAGTTCAAAAACTGTCTCTCTCTTCATTTTAAAATAATTTCTATAAATCAGCTTTTTCTAAAGTTAATTGCCTGCCAACGTGCAACAGACACTGAAATGTTTTATACTTCATTTTTTTTAATGAAAAGATAACATTAACAACTGCTGTAACATTTAAAACACAAAAACAAAAAACATATTCCAGGAAGGCTAAGACTACACATGACCAAGTAAATAATTTCATAAACTATAAACTGCAAGCAACCGGCCAATTGCTTACTACCTATGACACCTCCAGTCTTGATCATCAGTTTGGTTTGGGAGGGTAGAAAGAGGGGTGGGGCATTTTCTGCTTTTTATCATAAATCATTATTTGGGCTTTTTAAAAAAATTGCACAGGTAAACCCAATGAATCAGAATTCAGTTTCCTGAAAATTCCCAAAGGGGAAAGTAGTCAAGCAATCGTGTTTGTGGTTTACAGCTCTCCACTCTTATTCTACTCGTATGCTGGAGAAAGGCAATCTAAATCACCAGCCTAAATAATTGTAATTTCACTTTCATGAAGGATCTCAAAATTTGAGCTGAAATCTCAAGCCAGATTGGTTGGACTTTTCCAGTTGAAAATTAATTTTGATCAAAAATGAGTTATCCAATGACTTTTCTTCAAACAAAAATTAATAAAAAAGGCAGAAAGGGGAGCGGTGGTCAAATAAGATTGCTATCCTTGAAGCTTCTCTTTTCAGGTCCTATGGAAGTGCAACACAGTGGAGAGAGCATGGGTCCCGAGGTAAGACAGACCTGGGTTTGAATACTGGCTCCACCATTTACCAGCTCTGTACTTTTACAGAAGTTAACCTTGAATCTGAATTTCCTCATCTGCAAAATGGAGATCACCTCCACCTCATTACGAAATAGGGAGGATGACAGAAATAATATATGTAAAGCACCTGACACAGGGTAGAGTATTCAGTGAAACAGTTTTATCAATGATACATTAAATTCCTAAAGAGAGATTTAAGATACTTATTAGAGTTTACTGGTAATTTTGTTTTGATAGCTGATACTACATCTTTTTTCCATCAAGTGTCTTTTACTGCTATTTTATTTAAAAACTAATACAAGACTCTTGCAACAATTTAAATAATAAGGAAGTATATAAAATAAAACCTGACGGTTCCACCTCACCTCCATCCTAACCCCAGGAGGTAATCATCTTTCCATGTTTTTCTGAGCTTAGCCAATTTCTTTTCCGTTTTTTAAAAAAACACGGTATGGAACTATACATATTATTCTACGACTTGCATTTTTTTTTTTTTGTCTTGTGAATATATCCTGGATAGCCTTCCAATGATCTACCTCCTCCTTAAAGTCTGAATATTATTCCATAATATGGATGCTCCAAGGAACAGTTTTCTTCTTTAAAAATGCACATCCTTGTACATCTCTCTCTACATTAATAGTGCTTTTATTTCTGCAGAATAGATGCCCTGAGATGGGATTAATGAATCAAAGAGTACACACAATTTAAATTTGGGGAGATACGGTAAGTTACAGCAATTTACACTCCCAGAAAGTTTTTTCTCACATCTCAACTAGCCAGTACTCTATCCATGTGTTTTGTATTTACTAATCTGATGGCAAAAAGCAGCTATCTCATTGTTTCAATCTGCACCTCTCACCTTTTATGAAGTCGAGTAACTTTTCATGTTTACTGACCATTTGCATTTCCTTTTCTATGAGTTAACTCTTCATGCCCTTTGCCCACTTTCTACTGGTTCTTGGCTTTTTTCTTATTCATTTGTGGGACCTAGAGTATATTAGGAATACTAACTCTGAATTAAATGCTCTAAATATAACCGATAATTTTATGACACTTTCAAGACTGATAAAACTACTTTAAGTGAATACATATACTTAACTAGGGCTTTTGAATAATACCATCAAATATTGTTCTATTATGAAAAAGCTGTGCAAGAAAACACTTCAAGGAAATAGTAAAATCTGTCAAGTTCAAGTTCCAATGAACGCCCCCTTTTCCGTAACAGGTGTAAACACGATTTCCTTAACTGCTGCGAGATCAGCAACATTTTCCCAGCTGGGAGCTCCCTTGTGCTCCCATGGTTAGAGACAACTAACCATGCCTCCGACGAAAAGACAACCGCAGGACTCGCGCGCGCAGCGACGCGGGCTGTAGCCCCCTTCACCGGCCACTGACATGGCAGCCGCGTTGACACACCGCGGCTGGCCTCAAGGAGCCTGCACATGTCACCGACAGCCCGGGTGACACCACGACAGTCCCCCGAGGTCACATCGCGGGCGGCGGCCCCCACCTTCCTGGACCCTGTCCACCCTGCCAAGGTCCTCGAGAGGCAACAGCCGTCCCAATCGCGACAGGAGAGGCCACCGCGCGCCCGGGACGCAATGACAGGCACCGTGCCTGCGGTCAGCCTCACGAGGAAACCCACCCCAGGCTGCCAAGCACCCTTACCCAAGCTTCTGTTTCTCCTCCCTACTCATGGGCGCGGCCCCCGCCGTCCACACGGACGTGGCCGACACCAGGCAGAGCGCGGCCGTCGCCGCCACCAGGCTCCATGGCGCTCGCTGGGGGACCGGGGACCCACAGCCCCGGCCGCCGCCGGCTTCGCTCATGGCCCCGCGGTTCCGCGCACGCGCAGCTGCTACGCCCGGCCGGTGGGACACATTGCTGGACGCGGGCGGCGAAGGGGCTGTGAGCCGTGCCGAGGGCGGGATGCGGAGTAACGCGAGGGGCCGCCGTCGCCGAACTGTTTCCCGAAGCCACCGGGCCGGTCCCTAGCGCCAGCGCTGCCACCACCCTCCGCCCTCAGCAGCCCGGAGCGCCTCCCCCAGCTTTCCGGTGTCGTAGTCTAGGAAACCGCCTTCCCCAACGCTACTTCCGGGTAGGGCCCAAGATGTTGAGCCTCAGAACCAATAGGGACCGGATCGGAGAGGGGCTGGCTCTGGGGACAGGAGAGGGCATTGGCCGGTACAAGTGAGACGTGGACAAAAGGCGGTACTGGGGAGGGACCACTCGCTTCGGCCCTCCTCCCACCCGTGAACTTGCGACCTGAAGACTACCAGTCCCAGCGTGCACTGCTTCCTCCCCGGCTGTCGGGCAGTCAGACTCCGCCTGGCTAAATTTCCACCCAGGGTGGGCGCGCTGCACTTTGGGACGTGTGGTCTTCCGAGGATCTCGGGCGGTTCCCGGGATCCCGCTTCCCCTGGCGTTCTGCAACCAGCTGTCCCTCAGTGGGCTGCCGAGTCCCTCGGAACCCGTCAGGTCTTTATCCCTCTTCTTGCGAATGACGTTTCCCTGGAGACTGGCAGAATGAGGCTCACACGTCTCCAGGTCCGTGCTGCACGCCTTAGGCGTGCGTTGGAGTATATAGCGTTGGAGTATATAGCGTTGGAGTAGTCCTCTGCCCTCAGGGAGATTGCAAAGCAATAACAGCAAAAAAGAATTGAGCCTTTGACGGCGCTGTGCTGAGTTTTACTTGCATTCTCTCCTGCACTCTTCTAAACTCTAATAGGTAAGTACTACCATCCCCATTTTGCAAACGAGGAAACCGAGGCTAGAGAAGTTAGGTAACAAGTCCTCGTCACACTCCTGGATGAGATTCCAACCAGCCTCCGTGACTCCGAAGCCCTTGCGTGTGACCACGTCTTTGTGCAGGACCACAAGGATGAAGGAGGGCACGTGAGGCCTCGAACAGGATTAATAATAGTTATTGTAAAAGCTCAATGTAGGGAGAGTAGTGTGAGTGCAAGAAAGTTTAATGAAGGAGAATGGAACTTGCGATTTCTTTTGATAACTGAGTCCCAGGTTAATCATTGGTAAAATGACGAGTAGGCTCCTTTTGAAAAACCACGTTGTTTTTCTTGCGTGATAATTCAGTAGGTAGGTGCGGAGTCTAGGAGCGTGGATGTGACCTCTATCACCACAGTCAATCGCTCATTCGTCCTCAGCAACTTTCAGCTTTCTGGAAGCTTTCCTCCTTGATTTCTATGACCTTGTATCATCTGCTTCCCTCTCGGACCTCCCATTCAGGTTACATCAATGACCTCTTCCTTCACTCCCCCTCTCTACAGGTGTTCCCTGCATTTTAAGGTTTACTTTTTGTCTTTTTTCTCTTTGTACTCTATTCCCTGGTGATTTCTTCCACTTATGTGGATTCAACCATCATATCCCTGTGGTTGATTTCTAAATCAGTATGTGTCCTGGTCTCTAAACCCACATTTCCACCTCCCTAATAGAAATTACCCTTCTGTCTCGCCCAAGGGTACCTCAAATGTAATATGTTCACTGGTGCAAATTAATGCATCAAAATCAACAACTTCTCCTCCTCCTTCATCGTTCCTGCCCAGTCAGTTGCCAGGTTATACAGATCCTACTTCTGCTATCACTAGTTTTCTTTCTACTCCCACTTCTCCGTTTGAGTCTCCATTACCTCTTTCCTGAACCACTGCAATGGCCTCCTAAATTATTTCCCTGCTACTCTCCTTTTCTCTACATTGCTACCGGAGTTGCCATTCAAGGACATCTACCAACCCTCTGAACACATCCTCTCCCTTCTACTGCTGCCCTGCCGTCAAATCCTATGTGATAAGTAACAGATTTCCGTGTTATTTCCCTTCTCTGCCTTTGCTCTTACCATCCCTTCTGCTATCCCACCATCTGTCTGTAGAATACCCACTACCCATTAAGTCTGCTCAGATTCCTTCCACAAAACCCTTCCAAAACCTTCCAGTCATTAGAAGTCACCCTCTCCCCTGTTCTTCCACTGTATTCTGTGTCTTTATTATTGCATTGTCACAGTCTTCCACGTCCACTAGATGGACGTGGATCTAATGGATAAACACATGAGGTCATTTCTGTACAATATTTAATTTTATCCTTTTTATGGACCTGCAACCCTACACGGGTTCCATCCTGGATCCTCTTGAACAGCTTTAATGATGAAGTTAGCTAAATAAATAATACCTGTGAATTTTTGTTGGCTCTGGCATAGAGAACATGACAAAGTAAAGGTCAACATTAATCATCCAGTATTTGAAAACTAGGAAGAAAGCAAGTAGAAAAATGGGCAGTGACCTTCAGTTATATTGAAATGTAGTCAAGTCAATTATTTATAGTGGATTATTGGCAGTAATTCAGTTTTCTTTAACTCCCTGATGTTCCAAGCCTTTATAAGAAGTCAAAATTTACTATTAATTATCATTAAGAAACAATGTACTCAAGAAGGAGAAGTACTGGCTTTTAATGTTGAGCATTTTCTGGGGTTTTTCTCCTTGGCTGATTTGTTTTCAAGCTAACATTGCATTTTAAAAAGTGTATGATGAGAACCCAGAACACGTTCTTTGTTGACTTGCTAAAAAATAAGCACCTTTTTCTCCCTTACTGAAATTCAATTTCTAGCCGATGCTTGAGTCCATTTTTCACTAATCTCGGCAAAACCATATGTAGAAAAGCTTGTGAGGCCTAAAAAGCATTGCAACTTATCACATCTGCTGTGGAGCCCATGGAAGTAAAAGGAAAACATGTTTACAAAGTGCATTTCGAAAGAGAATCCATTTTAACCCCTTAATGGAAATAATAGACATTCTTAGCAAATTGGCAGTTTATGGACACTAGGAAAAATGTACATTCCTTATTTTAAAACCTGTACACTTAGTGATAAAAAGGATATGGACGTTAAAACGCTGGTGGAAAGCATTAGGAGAATAAAGATAGGGACTTATAAAGAATATGGAAGAGATTTTAGATGTGTAAAGCCCATTAAAAATGGTGAGAAATAAGATCCATTTATAAAATGCCCTTTAACCGGTTAAAAGTTTGTTTGCACAGCCTTGTAGCTTATGTAAATATGTATGCTCACCTGGCCGTTCTCTTTACTTTCTTGCCTGGATGGATCAGGAGTTAGGGAGGGGTGGGAGCCCTGGTTAGTCATATGGATTCACAAACATAAGGGAGAATGTCCACTTTAATATTATGGCTTGGAAATCGTCGCAGGAGGCTGTGACCAGCTGTGTGAGACTGACCATACAGCAGCAGTTGCCCCTAAACAACTTGAATTCTTTAGTACAAGAGATCTAGTTACTCCTCAAACTCTAGCATGGAATTTGGGAGTGGTGATTTTGTCATTCTTCAAATCGCTTTTCCTATTATTTGATAGCATGTGGAATTTATAGAACACTTGTTTTCTTGAGAACCCAATCTTGCAAACATTAAATACAGTACTTATTCTACGTTTACAACTAGGGATTTTAAGACCCCATAAAGAGTGCTTCATGAAAAAGTATTCAGTGAGTGTTGTGGACTGACTCCATGCTTGGCTGTCTGACTTATGCAAATTCCAAGAAACAGAATGGGAAATTCAGATGATTCACTACCCCCAAAGATGTCCCCAGGGCTTTTTCCACCTCTCAATCATGATTCAGGATCTTCAAAATCACTTCAGCTTCAGATTATTATCTCCCTTCCCTCAGTGACACCTGCACGAACTCTTTCAGGCAAGAGATTTTGCTCCTACATCATGTTTACTGTTAAGCTCACTTTTGTGGTTGGGTCTCTGGTTTAGTAGCCATTTTCCATTTACTCCATGTATCAGAAACAAAGCAAAGTCACATGGCTCTTCACAAGCAAGTGCGTCTTGCCCCTGCCTCTTATCCTAAATCCCCGTTTGCATCACCGACATAGTTTCCACTTAGCATTTCAGTCTGGCCATGAGGTTTTAAGTCAGCACCGTTCAACCACATTCCGCACAGCTAGTGGAGTAGCCAAGAACAATGGCTCTGAGCCGGCTCTGCCGTGTTATCTTAAGCAAATTGTTGAATTCCTTTGTGCCTTAGTTTCCTCATTTGTAGAATGGGAATAAGAATAGTACCTACCTCACAGGGTTTTTGAGAAGGATTAAATGGTTTAATTGTTGTAATACCTTTCTTCTAGGGGTGTTATGAAGATGATGAGATGATGTGTGTAAAATATTTAACACAATTTGAGAGAGCTCAATAAATAGTAGTGTTGGGGAAGAGGGAGAATCCCCCCTCTGCCCTTTCCCTTAAGGTTCTTATGGCTGGCCAAATAATTAAAAAGGCAGGTTAGCAGGAGAAAATGATACCAAGTTTAATAACATGTATACATGGGAGAAACTCAGAACTGAGCAACTCATCATTCTGTCTAACTGCTTGCTTAAGTATTTTAGCTAAAGGCGTGGAAGGTGTTGGGAGGGGAGTGGTTTGGGATTTCAGAGAGGAAGAAGACAATTCACGTGGAGATGGAAATGCAAATGGTTGTCTGACAACTCTTCAGGGCCACCTAGAGAATGTGGCTGGAGAGAGACAGAATTTTTGATAAAATGGACTTGGTGCCTTTCCTATCTTTCCTATCACAGCATCTTATTTTACATTATACTACAGCTATCATATGGTAGTAGCTCCTTCCTGAAACAGATCTTCTATGTGAAATTCTTTAGGTGGTTTGGGAAGGGAAACTCAAATGTTCTTCCCGAGTCTTCTGAGCCTTTATTGTCTTTAGCTCGAAGTAATCCACGTACCAGAGTGGCCCATATTGGGGTGGCCTGCCCTGAACACCATCAGTTGTTACTGATATTCTCATTATTATGAGGTAGAAAGGAAAAGTTGCCATTGCTGAGAGCAAGACTGAAAGGTAGGCACATAGGGCCCTGATTCTACTCTCAGCCCCAAATCTTGTCCACTTCCTTGGCTTGCTAACCTTGTGGCCACCACTGCAGGCTGCCTGTCCAAAAATATAGCCTTCCTAGACCTTCAACTGAAGAGACCATTGAATTCAGGCTCAGTTTCTGCCGTGGAGACCTTGTACGAGCTATAGAGCCTCGTCCATGTGTTAGAGAAACATACATACAAATGCAAGGTATTTTTCTCCCCTCTTAAACTTAAAAGTGCCCT